CTTATTTCGTTTATGTATCATCTCATGGTTCAGTCTTCTATCCAGTCTCTGTGGGTATTGGCCAACTCACTTATCAGTGAGAGTGAACTAGAGTAGTTGCTTGAATTATTTTCTCAGCTTTAACATATACAGGGTACTTAAGCAGGTAACTTCACCCCCACCCCCCAACCCCATCATCGTGAATCTCTATATCCATCATAAGGGTTTGGAGAATACAGTTTTTGGTATGTTCTTTTATTTTAAAAGCACATGAAGGACATTGAAATTAATACATTTAAGTTCTTAGAAAGGGGAGTTCAATATTTATTAAGCACTATTATGTGTCAGACACTATAATATAGTGAAAAAAGTCAGATAGCTTTGGGCAGAAATAAATTCTGAGTTCACCTATTTTTTTTCTAGCTGTGTGACCTTAAACAAGTTATTTAGCCTCTTTCTGAGCTTCATTTATTTATTTATTTATGTTTAATGTCTGTAATTAGGGTTAATTATAACCTTTTAGAATTGTTGTAAGAAGAGATAATGTGCACAAAATACCTAGCCCAGTGCCCTATACACATCATGAGCATTTCGGGAGTGTCAGGTCTGTTTCTCACCCCCTTTTCTGGTCCTCCTTAACCCTCACAGAACTCATGCTTCTGTGATGCCACAGCCTCGGCTCTTCCTCATCCACTTCAGTGGATGATTTATTCTGTTAACTAAATTCCAACTGACTTTGATGATTTCGGACAAAACTGAAGAAATCATAACTGGCAGAAATGTGAACTTCTTTTGACAATGCCCCAAATGTGTCATGGCATAAAACAAGTAGGACAGGGATTGCTCACCTGTGGCACAGAGAGGGGCAGGACAGACAACTCGGCAGCCTTCCTCCTTTTCCAAACTACCCTTCCAGCAGGTGTCTTATTCAGTTGAATTCTAACTAGGGTGACCAACTCAGCCAGGTTTGCCCCGGACTCTCCTGGTTGTAGCACTGGAAGTCCAGTGTCCCAGGTAAATCAGAACAATGAGTCAGCACACTTTTAGGAATCTGAACTGTGCCCGTTGCCAGTGTGCTGCAGTGTAAGAATCACTGGCTTTGGAGCCAGACATACATGGCTGCATATCCTGGCTCATTCCACTTCTAGCTATGAATCTTGTGAAGTTTACCTAACTTCCTTGAACCTCAGCTTCTGTATCCATAAACTTCATTCTAGTCTTTCCTGAATTTGTAATGAACTTCATGTTATTAAATTAAATGATAGCACATTGCTTGCAATGTTGTAGGCTCTCAATTAATGTTAATTCTTTCCTTTCTTCTTATATTTAAGAGTTTCATTATCCCCTGGGGTACCATGTCTCTAAAAATCCTTGAAACTTGTTTCAGGAAAGGGAGGTGGCCATCAGGCAGCAGGGGGCTCTGTTCCTACTATTCCTGTCTTTCTACCCTCTTCTCTGTGCTCCCCTATCCTCCCTCAAACCAAAGCAATAAATAAAGCTTTAGTAAGCCAATGATCAAAGATGGCTAAACTCTAAACCCACACTTGGTTTTAACTTATCTAAATGTGTCCCACATGCCTGCAATAATGTTCAGGATGTATCAGGACCATTTTAAACTTATACATTTAATTTATAATCCTTTTCACTCCAGGAGGTTTATGATGTGCCAGGGGTTCAAATGTTTATTCTTAGAATTATCTAACCTCAATCAACCAATTATTCTGATGAATTGTATACTTCTTTTTTTTCTTGACCAGATTTTGGAAACAATGACAGGCATTCAACTGAGACTTATTTGTAAATCTCTGACAGATTGAGAATTATGGAGTTCCTTAAACTGTCTCTTAAAATAAATATTTCTGATTTATCTGGTAAGTTAAAGGAGGAAAAGCAACAATCTCCAAACTCATTAAGCTAAGTCTAAACATGTTTGGTTTTTTTTTTAAATGTTGTGGGAGGTAATGATCCCTATATGCTTAGATAAAAACTGTTAATAGAAAATTTTCACCCTTTTTTTTTTAAAGCAATTATTTGTGCAAAGCAACTTAAGTGCTCCTAGTGGTAGTAATTGTTTACCTGGGGTGGCTTCTGAGGGAGAAGGGCATAAACCAAACAAATTTTATTAAATTTCCAGAGTTCTTAGCAATATTAAATGTCCAAAGGACTATATTTATCAAGCTGCATGTAAATAATCAACCCATGCTCTTTGCTTGGGACCTTAGAAGAATTGGATGGATTATGTATCAGGAATGGTGCAACCTTAGTATATAATGATGCCCTTCTTTCTTTTCTAGTTTACACAGCATTTTACTGGTAATTTACTTAACAATATAAATATGAAAAAAATATTCCTATAAAAATAACATCAATGCATTTGAAGATTCAAAATGCAAAATGCAAAGTGATTTTATTAGACTTCTAGAGAACATATTCTAGTAGTCAGATTAATATATCCAATTTTAAAGCATGAGACAGTATTTTGATTCCATTAGAAAAGCCTTAAAGAACAGAGTACATTCAAGTTAGTAAAGGTAATCTAACCAACATGGGGAAAGGACCTATGAAAGTGGTGTATTCCCCATGACAATGGTGTATGTAATAGCTTGAATTTGAGCTGCTGTTGCAAACCTGGTCTTTGGAAGTAGAAGGAGGACTCAACTTCCTTTGTTCATTGCTGTCCAATAGAAATATAATGCAAAACATATAATTTTATATTTTCTTGTAGCTACATTAAAAATATAAAACACATTAAAAATATTATTTACTAAATCTATCCCAAATCTCATTACTTCAATGTGTAATCTATATAAAATCATTAAGATATTTTACATTCTTTTTTTTTCATGCTATCTCTTTGAAATCTGGTGTGTATTTTTCACTTGCAGCACATCTTAATTTGAACTGGCCATATTTCAAGTGCTTAATAGCCACATGGGGACAATAGCTACGGTATTGGACAGCCTGGGATTTAATCTACGCTTGGAGGGCCTGATGCTACCTGGAAAGGTTGTGTAGCTGAATCAAAACTTCTGGTTTGAGGTGTCCTTGGGTAAGTCAGAGATACTACTTCTATTTCTTCATTCCCCATTAATATGCCTCTTCCCTCTCCTTAATACCATGTAACGTATGCTAACCATGTACCAGATGCTGGACACTGTGCTGGGCATACTAAATGCATTATTTCATCAATCCTGCAAGAATCAGAGCTCTTACTTTATAGTTAAGGTAAATGAAATAACTAAATGATGTCAATATAGTATAGTGGTTATGAGTACAGACCTGGAGACTGCTCATACATGTTTCTGCCACTTCCTGTACACCTTGGGCAAGAAATTTCGTAACTTCTCTAAGCTTCAGTTTTATCATTTGTCAAATGGACACAATAAAATATGTTTTATGGTTTAAATGAGACTGTGCCTGCAAAGCTATAAGCACTCATGAAATATTAAATGGGATAAACTGGGACACTTTGGAATTTGCAGTACGTTATACGAATGTTATTACTGCTACTACTATTGAGGTGCAAAGAAGTTAAGTGATTTAGCCAAGGTAACACAGCTAATAAACAGTGACCAGGTGCTCACCCAGTTTGACTGTTTCTAGAGCAGCGTTTCTTGCCATGTGTTTATAGTTATAACATGGACTGAATTTGTCCTGACTGTGACATAAAATGAAAAAGTATCTTGAAAGATAAATTCCTATTATCTGCTTGCCATTCTCATAGAAGCAGAATTCAGGGGAAAATTATGGGCTTTTTTGTTGTTGTTTTTTGTTTCTGTTTTTAAATAGGGATTTAGTGTTCTAAGAAACTAGACAAGGAACATGCATAGAAAAAAGGGAGATTAAATTAAATTTTTGTTTTTGCTCCTTTGTTCTTTTTGACTCTGATTTTAGTAGGGAACAGTGCCCTGCATATATTGACATTAAATTCATGCATGTTGTATTAAATCAAATTTGCATTTTAACAAAGAACAGAGATATTAAAGCTTTTGTTCCCTTTTAACAATGTATTTATAGGGACATGTGCCTCTCATCTTTTAAGACAAAAAATTTCTTGAAATTTATAGAAATTTGATAGTGCCATCAAAAGTACATGTAATCAGTTTATATATTATGAAAGTTTCTGTGTAAAAAATTTTTTCATCGAATTAGCAAGTAACAACAAAACCAGTGTCAGTGCTATTGGGTTCAACTCAGCTAACAATGCCACTTTGAGCACGCCCTCTCTGCCTAGATGTTGTACTTTTCATCTGCTGCACAGAATTGTTTGTTCCAGTTTTTAACTATACAACCTCTTCCATTGGTGTTTGATTTTATCTCACTTTTTTCTCTCCCTCCTTTGTCTTCCATCACTTCTACTTTGTGCCTAACCTCTTTAAGACTCCTAGGAGTCTTAGGGTTCCAGGGTTAGGAAGAACAATCCTGCCTAGCATAGTGCTAATTCAGGGCCATGCCTAGCCTTGAGTATATGCCCCACCTGGAACAACCACCCCAAAGAAAACCCCACTCAATTCCATTTTAATCTTGCAAAACCTATGAGAGTCCTAGTTACTTAATGTTCCGCTTTCTGAAAGAAAAACCAAGGACAGGGACTAGATGTCTGGACATGGTGGATTCTGGTTTGGCCTGGCTCTTAGCATGTCATTTTCTCTCCTTAGTCTTAAACAGCAATTCCCATAATTTCCCCCAAGGATTCCCTCCAAGAACAGGCTACTGCTTCACTTCTACACCTCACCTCTCTCCAGTCTTCCGACCTCACACACTATAGCTACACTGCAGGCCTTCAAACATGCTGTTCCCTCTGTCTGGACCACACCTCTCCTGCTTCTGTACCTGTTTAATTCCTACTCAATCCTTAAGGCCTCAGCTTAGAAATTAGTCCCTCAAGGAAATCTTCCTTGGTTTCTCGATCCAGGTTAGGACCTTCATAGGGGTTCCCATAGTATCCTGGATATCCCCCACTACCTCCCAATCCCGATTTCATCTGGAATTATTTTTTACTGTATGGTTTGCCAAAAGGTATGCCTAAAGGTAAGGATCCTGTCTTTTTATTTACTTCTGTGTCCCTTGTGCTTAGCATATAGTTGGTACTCAATAAATATCAGCTCTGTGTGGAAGAATGCAACTATGCAGGGCATCCCAGGAAGTTTCCCCAGGTTGCTACTATTTTCACCCCCTTTTGTCCCACCTGTAATGGGGTACGTAATATGACAAACATTTCTATTCATTATTAAAATTTTCTTGAGGAGAACACTATGCTTGTTTAGGAGAAATATTTAGTTAGCTGATAATATGGTTAAGAACATGGACTTTGAGAATAGATTTCCTGGTTTTGAATCATGGTTTTGTTAATGGCTGTAAAACTTTGGGAAAATCACTTAAACTTTCTAGGCCTCAGTTCCTTCATGTATAAAATGGGGGTGAAAATAATAGTACCCACCTTACAGGGTTGTTGTGAGGATTATATAAATTAATACACATAAAGGACTTAAGAATTACTGGCACATATACATAGTTAGTCCTAGTAATTATTATTACTATTATAATTGTAAATTATAACTATAATAATTATAAATTATTAAGGGTAGGGGGTGAGCTGAAGGAATCAAAGCTGATCCCCAAATTCTGCTTATCAAGCCAGTAGTCCTGTTCACTCTGGGCTTTCTGTTTTGTAAGATGTTTGGGGAAAGTTGCTGAAGCCAAGTTGATTTACTGCTAATTAGGGTGGAAATAACTTTGACATTGGCAGGGAAGGGAGGCAAGATACACTTATACATTCAACAAATATTTACTGAATATGTATTTTGTGCTAGACATAAAAGAAAATAAGGTAGCTGGAGCTGTTACAGAGCTCTCAAGAAAGGAGACAGAAGCTAGAGAGGCTGGGTACTGACGGGGAAAATGGGGAGGAGAGGCCGGTTTCTCTCCAGTGGGTGTGGCACAACAGAAGGGGATCTTGAGAGAACAGAAATGCTAAGGCAGAATTTTCAAGCATCTGCTATAGGATGTGTCATGTAAATCCTCCCCTCCATTCCCTGCAAAATCTTCAATAAAGTTTTCACTGCTCACTCAAGTGAGCCTGAAGAAGGGGAAGATAGCAGATATCTGGGTTATATTGGGTTGTCGGAAAAGTCATGGCGCATTTTTGCAATGAAAAACATAGAAAAAATATGTTATGACTTTTCCGACAACCCAAAGCTGTTGGGGAAAAGATGCTATAAACAACAAAAAAAGAGGCCTTCCTTACTCTTGTGTGCTACCAGTAAGGAAGCATTACAGTACATGCAATATTTAATGATTATAAATGATACCCCAATGCACTGAATAATACAGGGCTCTTTAAAATAAATATGAACTAAACAGTATCAATAGCAACCATATTAACCAAAGGGAAGGCATTATTCGAGGTAGGAAACTTGGAATCCAAGGGAAAAGGGGCCATTACTGACTGAAGCTGGGAGTCAGATATGACCACCAACCAGCCCCTTTGTGGTTAATTAGTCAAACTGGTGATTCCTCAGCAATTCTAACTTGTTACTTTATAAACCATTGCTTATGCAGACTTTCTTAAACATACATTTTCTAAGGTTTAGGTGTGGGGATGGGGTTCATTGTGTACTTATAGCTCCCATCCTTTTTTTTTTTTTTTTAAAGGTTTTTATTGGGGAATTGGGGAATGGGAACAGCACTGGGGAATTGGGGGAAGGGGAACAGACAAGTTGCTGTCCTTTTGTTCTTCAGTCTAGTTGTGGAGGACG